GCCAAAAGTGCACCCTCGCGACACGGCGAGAAAAGTCACGACCCCCCCCCCCCCGGGCCCCCTCGGCGCTCCGAGCGCCGCCGGGCTCCCTGCCTCTCCGCCCCGCCGCCCCGTGGCGCCTGCAGGCGGACACGCTGGCGGAGATCAGAGCCCTGGAGAAGGGCGAGTCCTGGGCTCCGCCCCAGCCGGTGGTCCCGCGCCCGTCGTCCCAGTTGTCAAGCAGTGGCGAGGCGTCCTGGCTCGCCTATATAGTCCTACCGAACAGTGTTCCGAGAGCCTTTTGTGTTTTCCACGAAGTGTTCTCAGAACGTTTCTGGCGGAGTCATTCTTGTTTTGCCACATCGGGCTTATGCTCTAAGAACATTGCTTTTGTTCTTAGAACATCTTTGGGTTCTAAGAACATGTCGTGGCAGGACTATAGGAATGCCGGGACGGCCGGTCCCGGCTTAATTGCTCGGCCGCGCGCAGAAGGGGGGTAGGGGGAGCGGGGAAGGCTTTTCTGAAGGAGGCTACTTCGTAGAACGCGCGCGGGCCTTGTCTATGAATGTAAGGCCGCCGACTTCTCAGAAGCAGCCTCCTTCTGAGAAGCCTTTCCCCCTCCCCTACCTCCCCCCTGCGCGCCGACAGTTTACGGCCAGGAGCTTTCAAAGAGCGTGTTGCTCCGCCGGTTCTGGCCCACCACGCTCCGGCGCGACACGCTGTCAATCTCCTGGCCCCCCAGCGTCAACCTCCCGAGCTTTCCCGAGCCCCCCGCCCCGCGGAGCGGAGCGACACGCTATCCGCTCGCAAGGCACAGCGTGTCGCTGGGGCCCGCCGCCGCGACACGCTAGGCAGAAGCTCCTGACCGCAGGGCCATGCCGGTCTCCGCTCTTCCAGGGGGAGGGGAGAGGGGGCCCGGAGACGCCCGATGCCGAGCGAGCGCGTTTTTGCGCACTCTGGCGCCGCGCCCAGAACTGCAATCGGAGCGCAACTCCGCGCGTTTCGGTGCGCTGTCGGACGGCCGCGATCGCTCAAGGTCGAACGGTCCGCGTGGTGTCAGAGATATAGGGCGACGAGATCTATGCATATCCACTGCTCCTGGCCAGGCCAATTCTGGGCCCAGGAGCGGTGTATACGCCCTCCTGGCTTGGCCAGGGAGGCATATATACAGCTCCTGGGCCCAGGATGGGCCTGGCCAGGAGCAGTGGATATGCATAGATCTCGTCGCCCTGAGATAAGCGTCGGCATCCTCGCCACGAGAATCCGCTGTGCGACGGGCAGGGCCGCCCACGATCCGATCCGACTCGCCTGCTGGGGACGCGGTCCCGATTCGGCTCGGTTCGGCTCGGTTCGCCAGCAGGGGCGGAGGCCAGCCAGGGCCAGGCGCGTCGATCCGATTTCGATCCGATTCGCGACGATTCGCTGGCGATCCGATCCTTTTCCGATCCGATCCGGTTGCGGGATTTGATCCAGCTCAGGTCTGCCGAGGGGCACGCCTCTCGTTTCTCCTCGGGTTTCCCTCTGGCCATGGCTTCTTTCGGAGGCGCTCGTGCCAGACGTCTCCTCGCAGACCCTGGCGCGCTCATGGCCTCGCCAGCTGTGGGGGGATACCCACGTTCACCAGATCCTGAGTACGAGATGGAGGGGAGGAGGATGAGGAGGAAGAGGAGGAGTAGGAGGAGGAGGAGGAAGAGGAGGAGGAAGAGGAGGAGGACCAGTATAAACCCAAGAGTCATCAACGATGTTGGAATCAACCCTTCCTCCAAGCTCCCTCGTCACAGACCCCGACAAGTATCATGTCCGCTGAGTGAACTGCGTCGTTGGAAGACATCCGTATGAAGACCCGGAAGCATGTCAACACATGTGCTCTCAGGACTCCAACGCCACGGATCAGCCTGACTTTTGCGTCTTGGCGATCCTGAATCGCGCCAGAACGCCATTCTTTGGAGCTCAACACCGCGAATCAACGTAATTGTTGCGCCCTCACAATCCTGAATCTTTCCAAAACGCAACTTCTGGTACGTTGACCATGAGAACCCGTGAAACTCTTGCAATATTTAAGCAGGAATGTGCGCGGCGCTAAGGCGAGAGCCACACATTGAAAACGAACCGCCCACAATCCGTGAAACTCTTGCAAATTCTTGACACGAATGTGCGTGGTGCTAAGGCGAGAGCCACATCTTGAAAACCACCTGCCTTCCACTTATGAAGCTGTTCTCAATTTAGGCCTTCAATGTCATACATGGTGAGGAGGTCTCAGGCGAAGCGCCTGGCCCGCCCTTTCGACTGGCCACGAGGTGCGACAGGGAGGAGTTCTTCATAAGGAACAGGCATGGAGGCGGATGATGAGGAGGAGGAGGAGGGAGAAGGGAAACGGGAGACGGGAGAAAGGGGAAGGGATAAGGGAGAAGGGGAAAGGGAGGAGGATGAGGAGGACAGGGATGATGATGGTGGTGATGATGCTGATGATGATGATGCTGATGGTGAAGATGCCTATGTTGATGCTGATGATGATGCTGCT